ATTGTTCACTTCCTCCATACATTTTAAGTTCCGCACACAAAAGCAATATCGCGGGAGATTTCCGGTCGCCCTCGGCGTTCGCTTTCGTCTTCGGAGCTTTTATACATGTAAGTCAGTTCGAGTTTTCTCGCTTAGTCTGCCAGCAAGTAATCGCAGAGATGTTCATATCCGAAGCAGATGCGAAGAATGACGGCAAACTGACAGATTGTCGCCTACACCAACATTCCCCTGCTTAGCGTCAATCCAGCTCACTGACCCATGTGCGTAAGTGACATGTCGAAAGGTTTCTCACAACACGTTCAATCAATTACCGCAAATTTTATAATAATTGCAACGATCGTAAAGTAGCGTTAACACGTCTGCATTTTCTGCTATCGAGTAATAAATTTGATGGAAAAAAAGAATTCGTTTGCATTGCATTTGATGACACAATCGCGAACCCGAAAACAACCAGTGAGAGGACTTCACGTTAACCTATTCGTTCTCATTTCAATAAGTTTTTCGACAATATTTACTTAATTTTTTTATTTTCCACTGTTTTTTCCATTTCCATTTATTGTTGTTGTTGTTGTTGTAATGCAATAAACACACGCTTTTTAATATTGATTTTGTTTACGTTGATTAAATTTACTTTTGTTTGTTTACTGACTGACATCCGATTCCGGTTCGAATTGTGTTCGTTTAATTGTTTGGCAATTTCGAAATTTTAATGCGTTTTTTCTTATTAAATAAAATTTATTTTAAACGCAACAAAAGAATAAATTATATAATAAAAATAAAATCAAAAAACGCTTAAAGGCATTATCGAGGGGCGAGACATTTACCAATAGATTGGTCTACTATTCGCGATGCTTATGCATCTATGGTGTTGCGTTTGCTTTAGAGAATTTCTGTCAATTTTATGGTTTCTCACGTCAGGGTTACGTTAGAAGGCAATGAGGCACGATTTACTGCTCGCACTTGTAGAGGACAGTTCTCCCGATACAATTGAAACATACACCAACACAGGTTTCACTTCTGGAAACTATTTTCTAATTCAAGGTCTACTTGCTAGCCATTATTCGTTAGCGTAGTACTTGTAAACTAACATACACTTCCACTTTAAGTTCCCACATCCAGGGGATGTCTTCTCTATGCCGGGGTACGGTGTCAGTTATAGAGCATTATAAATTTATAGCTGGAGAGAACAAGCTGCTTACTTAAGTTAGATTAGAATGGTAACCTGACCCATAGCCGATTTAAATTGCAACAGACTGCTGTGGAATCAGATTACTTGCGAGAAGATTATTAAAAAATTCGCTAACGATCTCCGTCTTATCTCAAAGGCAGAACAGGAGATGAGTATTCCCTTAATGGATTCAATGTACCCCGTGATGTCAGCAACTACCGCGAAGATCTCTGTGCATAAGATCTGACAATGCGACGCGTTGACCCAAACAAGCTATGGTCGCTTTCAGATTTGATCTAGGTAGAGATATCAGGGTCTTTCCTTACGCTTTGTGGAGTAGTTTCGTGCAGTACATGAGATCAGTTTTTTTGGTGATTGTAAACAAAATTACTCCCACAGCTAGTTAGTATTAGGTTCTGGGACATCAAAAATCTTTCTTCCGCACGAAGAGTTTATTAGTTTATTTACTTCACATCGTCAGGGCAGTCAAATCAAGAGCAATTAAGTCGCCAGTTGATTTTCAGTTATACGGCATTCGAGAACAAGTCTCTTTAATTAAGACTAGGCTTTTACAGTGACTCGTCTGCTGATTAAAGCACTGTGAAGTGGTAGGTTTGCCAAGCAGGTGATCGCTACCTCTGCTGGCAGTTGTTAGCTTTAGATCAATTTGAAATGCGAGAGACAAGAACTTCTTTTATTCCCGCGAAGGTTAAAAAGCTGATGAGTCGTGATATCTCATTCAATCAGTTTCTTTCCCAGCTTTCTAAACCTATCAAGTACTCGACACATCTCGGAAAGAACAAAAGAGTTTTGTTCGGCCTTCACGTGTTTTGCAGCGTTAGAAGATAAAGTATTTTGACGCAAGGTATTGTTCAACTTTCTAAAGAACATTTTGGTTATTTTCCTGAGATTAGAGACTATGTCTGATGCAAATAAATCATATCTAAACACCTATATATACATATATATATATTAGTCTATCCTATAAATCATATCCACAATCTCTAACGTAAATGCAATAAGAAGAAGATACAAATATTCACCAGCACACACGTGCGTAATATTGTTCTGGTATTGTTAAAACAACTGGAAGCACATTTGCACTCAACAACACGGGTATGGTTTAATGAAAGAAGAGAAAAAAACACAAAGTGGTTTACACTATGTGTGAAGTTCTCAGTATGTGAAAGAGTGGTTAAAAGGAGAGGAGAGCGGTTAAGAAGAGGAGCGTTAAAGAGTAAACAAATGACGGAATAGAATTCAGTGTAATTTAGATGCACTGGACAACGAGGGAGCAGAGGTAGTGGTGTGCCCTATAAGAAATCTTTCGTTCGCATCATACGCATGTTTAGATGCATCTAACGTTCTCTGACGATTGAATTATTACCCACAAGCGCATGTTGTTACCCGTCTGCAGTTGAGAATCATATATCGTCGCAATAGGAACCAGATAATGGCCAAAAGTTTCTAGTGGTTTTCGCATCTTATTATTTAACGCCACTCCCGCAATCACTTATTAATTTAATTTCTACAGAACGAGATTCTTATATCTATAATGATAGTAAAGCAAATATCAAATTGATGTTACAGCTAAGAAAATGGCCACGGGCTTAGCTACTAAGTATTGAGCACTTAGACCATTTGTACCATTTGGGACATCACCCTAAGTATGATTGACATTTAAAACTAATCGTTAAGCGAGCTTTATACCTACCAATGCACTACTGGACCTCTAGATAGATCCAGCCACTGCAGTTTATATCAGTGGTTCGGCATTGGGAGGATAATTTAGCTTTTGTAATATTTGAGGAAAGTGTGTGTGTGTCGATTTACAATTTTTTATTATACCTTTTGAAGCTTAAAGAAAACCAAAATGAGATATCTGGACAGACAAAGGTGATGTAATGCCCTCGGAATCTTATTCCTAAGCCGAATCGTATCAGATGATTTTATAACGAACCACTTATGGTAGTTATGCGAATAATTATAATGCTATTGCTTTTCTTAATAGATTGAATTCATTCATCCAAACAAGAGAGGGCCGTATATAAATATAAAATACACACAAGCCCTATGTATGTTTGAAAGCGTGATATCAAATAATCAAAAATGGTGGCCCAAAAACCCATCGTGGCCCGATTAGTATTAATCTAAAGGCAGTTCATCTTATACAAACGATCACAAGTGACTAAAAGTTACCAGTCGAGAGACAAACGTAGTATGCCGATCACCTGCATTGATAGGCATAAAAAAAATAATTTTAGGAACAAAACACAATAAGAGCGAGAGCGAGAGGGAGAATGAGTATAAATCATTAAAGAATTTACTTAATCGCATTTTAAGTATTTATTGAACACTGAATGGTAAATAGTACGGAATCTCTTTTTAATAATAAATTTCATCGAAACAAAATGTTTTTGTTATGAAACACAAAAAAAAAAGTTGTAATGAAAATGAATAAACTGAGACAAATATTTTGTGACCATTGTGTGCAAATATTTGGGTAAACTTCGTGTCTTCCTTTACCAACACCATCTCATGTTACTCATTATTTACTCTGCATAGATACCAGGAGCAATATATTTCCGGGGCTTAGCATATTTTTATGAATAAAAAGAAAATCGAGAATGATTTTCCATTTTTTTTTTCCCCGTTTTAACAACAAAAGTTTTATATAGTGGTGATCGGAGTTGACATGAGAATCATTTTCACATGTTTCGTTGCATTTTCTTATGACTTTCATTGGTAAACAATAATTTCAATAAAGTGAAAACTTGTTTTTTTCTTCTTACATAAAATTAAGAAAATTGTTGTTTGTGTTCGACGAGAGTAATATTCAGTTTTCTGACTACGAACACCGAAAACACTGTGGCCGGGGAATGAAGACAGACTTCGAAACTTATGTTTGCATATATATCTGTCTACGCTGACATGTTTTATATTGTCATGTGTGCACACGTCTCCACACCATTACGGTTTTCTTAAAAGAAATAAAGGAAGGGATAAAAGACATTGACATGAGTCTCTGCATAGGTTTTGGCGAAAGTGGTGTAACTCTTGAAAGTAAACTACTTCACAATAAAAAGGACACTTTCTGATGAATTCTGTACTAATGATGTCTGCCTTCTGCGTAAGATGTTCACCGAGCAATTTTCGCATGCGTTTGGAGGTCGCAAGGTTAGTTTAGTTCAGCATAGGAGCTGCTGTAGAGGTCGAGCGTATACCGTGGATACGCCAATAGATTTTCCCGACGACAGGAACGTTTGCTGGGCTTTCAAGTCAATAGGTAGTCCGCCATTGCTTATTCGTGGGTTCTCTTGTTGGATGGCAACAGCTCATAATAGTACCTGGACTGGACTATAGTTTATGTTAGATTTAATTCAGTTCGTGCGACCATTCGACCCGTCCTTCGCCTACCTCGATCATAATCTTTTTCCACTGACTTGATGGTTAGAAGAGCACTTCCCATCGCTAACAGCCTTTCGCTACTCTAATGAATCCTTCTCTTCGGTGGCTTTTGAGCAGCAAATCACAATTAAATGGTTAGCGCTTATTAGGGTCGTCGTTCAGTACAACGTTTTGACTGATATTTGACGATCACAGTGTTTGGGCACAAACTTCAGATTAGTGCAGAGAATCGTTTATATAAATGTAAGGCTGTACGGGTTATGACAAACTAAGGAAATTTCGCTGCATTTTAATTTTTTTTTTTTTTTTTTTTTTTTTGAACATTCTGCACAACATACTTCACAAAAAAGTAGAACCAGATATTTAGAGAGACGGGTCGTTTAAATTATCATTCTTTATTTATTTTCGTTTCTTTTTAGATTCGTTTTGGCATTTAATGCAAGGCAATGTCGCATTATTCCCGCCCTTGATGATGATGATGATGATTATAACGACGATGACAATAATTGTGGGTGTCACAGATGCGTTGACATTTAGTTCAAGTCAGGACAACACCATTGTTATATTGCCCATCGATGTATTGGATGCTACATGTCCGATGGGTTATTTCCAATGCAACACAACGACACAATGCGTTCAACAACGTCTCAATTGTGACGGCCAAGCTGATTGTGACGATGCTTCCGATGAGTGGAATTGTGTTAACGACATCGATGCCAAATTTTGGGATCATTTATTTCGTAAACAACCATACGGACGCCACGATGATATACCCATCGGTACATGCTGTAAGTGAAAGCAATAAGAGAAAAATATATATGTGTGCATGTTGTCATTTTGATGTGATGAAGCGTAATGGGCGAAAAGTTGGGTACGGTCGTGTCGCTTTTCATTACAATTTGGCAAGAAATGCTAATTAGTCGCTTGAAATTAAACGTTCCTAACTATTTAAATAACAGCAATTGTATGTTAATTTGTATGAATACGTGCGGGTTGTGTCATCCTTGCTAATGTCCCTCCATTTGTGTTGCTATTGCTTTGCATTCTGTTGCACCCTATCCTTAATGCTAATGGTAATGTTTATGTTGTGTACACTCTTCAGACCCAACTTATGTAGTTTACCTCCACGCGTTTCCACCGTTCGCACTTTCAGGTCTTCCCTTATGCGTATCTCTTGTTGCTTTTTTACAGTGTGGCCCAACTCGCAGAATTTAAGTTGCCCTTGTCGTGGCTCAGAGTTATTGTGTCGTTTTCAACAATTGTCTGCTATTCCTATAAATCTACCCGCTCGTGATATTACTATGCTGTAAGTGTTTCCTTCTTTGCAATAGAATATGTTTTTAAACTTTTAATATTAAGTTAAAATTCACTTTATTCCCTTGCTTTTCTTGCATAATTTCTTGCTCCTCAGAGATTTGACTGGTAACAATTTTACATCACTGTCAGCATCATTTTTGGATAACTTACCCATAACTGAGACATTGTAAGTATTCTAGAAAAAAAAAAAACATTATATTTTATTATTATTATTATTATTATTAATTTAGCCAGAGAATAAGATTAAAGTCTTAAAAGTGCTTCTAAGTGCATCTAAGGCTATCGGTTTTATTGAAAATTCTACCGCATTTGGGATTCGAACCCACGACCATTCAGCTGCTAGTCGAGACTTTTTGCCTACTCGGGCACTCAGCCAGATATATTTTACTGTTAACAGAATAGGATTGTTTAGAATATTAATCATAATGTTAAGAATAGAAAAGTGAGCATCGTATGGAGTGCTTTGGAAACTTGACGTTTGTTTGCGTACATTTTTTAAAGCGTTTTCTATGTTTCTGTGGCCGGACCGCCGTCAAGGTATTAAGAAACCTTTATAACGATCAGGTTTCCTTTTAGACTTTCGTCTCTTATACAGCCCAAAAAAGAAGAATGGAGGAGCGAAAGCTTCGAAGACAAGGAGTCTTACAAAAGCACTCAAAAGAGTATCAGTCTCCTGTGCTCAAGTTATTGTAGTGTCGATCCTTACCTCAGATACTCTGCTTCATTGTGTTAACCCTTTTCCGGAGTATTCTTCATTATCGGCAGGTTAAACATCACGAATTTGTACTTGGTGTAATCATTTTGGAAAATGTCGTGGCACCGTTGTACCGTTGAACACAGCAGTAGCTACAATAGAAGGTCTTCATTTTGCTGGTTTTTATGATTAGTTTTCAATTTCGGTCAACTGTGACACCCGTTGTTCGAATGTTAAACTCCAAGATCCATGTGTAGTCGTCATGTGTCATCCTGTCTCTATTCAATTTTCTCATTTGGATATTTTTATTCATATATGAAACTGAAATCACAATTGACTCAAGTACAGTTAATGCTTGGATTCGATTAACATTCGGCCTAAGTGGCATTGTTTTCCGATAGACGGACCCTGACACTTAGTTGGATGCGTAGTCCTGACGACTTCGTAGCACGTCTTTCAAATCGATGGGTTACCCTCAGTAATCGAAACAAAACGCAAACATAAATGAAGCTTTTCTTAAATCTTTCCCTTAGCGGTACGAAAGCAATTAATTAATTTTCAATCCTTACTTAAAAAAAAAAAAATGCTTGTCCACATTGTCTCTAACCGTAGTTTTCAATTATAAATTAAAATTGTGTGTCTACCAACGGATTGCATACGGATGTGTATGTGTGTGTGCACATGCTTATCCTCTACCTGCCAAGTAGATGAATAGTAGTAGAGGACTAAGTAAAAGGAAAATTTGTAAAAGACTCTACTTCTGTTTGCTCCGTTAGGGAAGCTTTTATGGAATTTATGGATAGAAAACGGCCAACACTCAGGGATTTAAAGGAGCCTTTTTCCTTTTTTTAACAACTTTAAAGAAAATTACGCTTCAATTATTGAAGTATTGCTGAGCACGTCAGCGAATTCCTCCGCAGCGAAATGAAAGCGGAAACGAACACAAAAAATAAAATCAGCAAACAAAAACAAGTAAAAAAATTATGCTCGGCCACGGCCGAATCTTATATGTACCCATCACAGTTAACCTATCTATGTCTACTCTCCAAGTCTTTTCATCTGATAACTAATTGACAATACCACTAAGGAAAAACGAATTCTCGATCCCATTTCCGGTATGGACCTGCGTGTAAGAACTTCCAACATTTTTACTCAATTCCGAGCCGATGGCTTTAGTTTTAGAGGAGAATGTTTACCACAAACATTACTCAGACGGACAGATAGACGGACATGCTTAAATCGATTCAGGATAAAGAATGCTTTGTGGGGTCTCTGAAACTTCCTCCTGGGTGATGCAAACGTTTCGACGAAATGAATATACCTCTCATGCTTCGGTGATGGGTGTAAAAAAAGCCACAGTAAGTGATTGTTGAAAAGTAATTTGTCGAACTCAACGAGTGGAACCCAATATGTTTCTAAACAATCGCACAGGAAGTCTAACCAAAAATTCACTTCTTTTAACTGACAGTTTGAGAGCATAACTGATTCGAGGAAAAAAAAGAATTTTTTACTTTTGATTAAATTTGTTTTCAATAATTGTTTGTGTTGTGCGTTGGTTGCCTTCTTTTTTTTGCAGAGTATTAAAATTTTGTGGCATTGCTCAGCTGACAGAAAATGCGTTTAAACGTTTGTCTACGATACCAGTTAAGACACTGTAAGTATGTGTAAGAGTCATATGCACTTCATAAACAAAAAAAAAAAACAACAATTTTTGTATGAAAAAAGCGGCCTCGATGTTTACACCCACTAGCACCGAAGGGCACACTTAGTTTATCAGTTTGCGTGTAACCCTAGGAAATACATCTCACAGTGATACTCATGGCGTTGTGAGTTAGTGTTTGTTTACTAAAAATGCCGTAACATTCGAGCAAAAAGACATAAGTTACGTGAAAGGGGGTCGCCTTGTGGTTTCATATCAATTGCGTGAACCCTTAGGTAATGTTTTTGTTGTCCATTGGAATATAGTGGACTGGTTCATTGGAGACGAAGCTCCCTATTGAAGGGCTTTTGCAATTTTCCAAATGTTTGCTAGAATCACATCTTAAGAGCAAAACAGTTGCTATAGTGATCAGGAAGCATTGCAAACAAATTGTTTATGGATGACCTCGAAGACTTAATATCTCGAAACACTCAAGCCAGATTCTATTAACTTATTCTTGGAGGCTAAAATGCGAAAATACACTTCTCGTGCTTGCAATCCTCATAAGCGAATTTCAGTTCCAGTGAGAGGAATTTCTTTTTTATACACTACACCAGTTCGCGGTGAAACAACGCAAGTTTCAGTAAACAATTCTTCTTAAGCCATAATTCCCCACGAAAGCGGGAACGCAAGTTGCCACGAAAGGGCGAAATTTTCCAACGTCGGGCTTATGCTTCATTTCATTGATCGTCAAATGTCCGTCAGAGTCGCTTATAGCATCGGCCAGACTAATATCATACCAGTAGGTAGTGGACGGCCGGAAGTTAGATTTCCGAAGCTCCTCAAAATCTTTGCGTTTTCTTTACTCAAAACTTGTTATGTACTATTTGCCCCACGGCTACGGGGTCCGACTTACGGCGCCTTTTCGTCTTTTAGAAATAAATTATCAGAATTCATGCAATCATATGCCGCCGTTAGTTTCAACTCTTATCGACGGTAACGAATTCTATACGCAAGCGTGTAAAAGACAAGCAAACATCTGTCGCAATTTTGCAAAGTGCAAAGTTATGTGTGGATAAATTGTACAGAGCGCCAAGGTAGGCGTCCAAAAGTTCGAGGGCATCATATCAACTCTTTTTTTGTCGTTTTGGCTGACCATAAACTTTAATTGCTGATATAAATCAAAAATTAATCTTCAATTTATTGTTTACCCAATAAACTGAAAATTGACTTTGTTTTCTTTTTGCTCGTAAGGAAGGCACATAACAAGCATCGCCTATGAAATGAAGCGAAAAATTATTTCTTTTTATATAAAATAAAAAAAAATCGTTTTTCTATTTTTGCTTATCTTTTTTAAGGCATCCTTTGATTTTCGTGCTTACTATCAGCGCACGAAAGTGTGTTAGGTCTATCCTTCCGAACGTAACAACCAGAGATAAGAGATCACGCGTAGCAAGTATTCGTACAATCGTCCATTCCCCGAATTTTATCTTCGTTTGTCCGGTTGTCTGTTTTTGTATCTACGCTTTCATCCAAGAGTTCAGAATGCAAAGACAGGTTTGCCCTAAGTAGGTGAAGTAGGTGTCCACAAGGGGTGACGAAGTAAAGCTTCAAACATTTTCGATAATTAAATCTTATCTATAACACGCATTGATCTAAGACTCACGCGCTTACTAGCAACACATACATCCCTTTGGAAAAGATGCTTCAGATAGGTGTCGAACCAAAATTCCAACATTCTTATCTCATTCATGTCTGCATTCGTCTCATCTTATACTTAAGACCAACAGTGTCATCTCGTTTGTTAAGCTCATAGGTTGTCAGAATTCGTTTTCAGCCGAAGTTAAAAAATTCTTATTAACTTGGTTTTGTTTTCTTCTTTATCTTGCTTTTCTTCCTTCAGATATCTGGACGAGAACAAAATTGAAAGTTTGCCACCGAATTTATTCGCGCCGGGAAATTATTTAAAAATTTTGTAAGTTTCTGATTAAGATTTTTATCGATTTAACTTTTATTTTATTTCATTTTTTTTTTTGCTTCTCGGCTTGGATTTAAAAAAAAAGATTTAATCTACTGGGTAGACTAACTTATAAACGTAGGATGAAATTTTAGTTAGGGCAGAGCAAAATGTCATTTGGCTGTGCAAGCTAAGGCAATAAAAGTTATATTCATCAGCGTTTGGCATTGTTTTAACTTGAACTTTAATTGTCGATTACAAACAATTAGGAAATCTTCCAAAGGGTTTTTATGTCCTTCATTGAAGGATGAGAGCTATGTTCATTTTGTCACAATGTTTGCATTGGCAAGGAGGAAGCTTCAGAGACCCCACAAAGTATATGCACTCTTGATCAGCATCATATTATGAATAGATTTAAGCATGTCCGTCTCTCCATCTGGACGTTATGTGGCGGAAATCTACTTAAAGGGGAGTGTCCTGAAAAGAAAGTCACGGCTTCGTAGCACTTATTTACATAAAACACCAAAAAGTAAACCTTATTCCAAAATACCCTTTGTTCATTTAGCAGGAGGAGTATTCGTGAAAATGTCCCTTCCAGATTATTTTCAATAGCGTTGGTCCTTGATTCCGAGAAATTTTCATCGAAATGTCTTGACACTTACGACTTGTAGGTTGAATACAAAACCCGAGGACTGACCTGAGATAGACTTGCCCTTCGTAGTCGCACAGACCTAATACGACTTTACCTCAGGTGATATATACACACTAATGCTAAAACACATACAAATTTCTCTATGTTGTGTTTATAATGGACAACATAACGTAGTAGATTTGACGATTTCAGGCCCTACGCGATACACGCGACACACACATTTAAACGTATCAAAGTTAAAAGATTCATGTTTCTCAGCTGATAAATTTAAAGTTCGAAAGTACTTTATAAAACCTTTTTGATCGTCTAATGCACCCTTGAAGCGCAAGTGGTGTAGAGTATAAAAAAAAGGCGGGGCACAGTGTTGGAATACACTGCCTAAGTGAAGAAAGCAAGATGAAAGTTCTTTAGGGGTTTCCTACACAGTTTCATGCTAGCATTGTAGTATTATTTAATTTTAACCGAATCAATTTTGCTCTATTTGAGAATGGAAAGAACGTGTAAAAAAAGTAGAAAAAATAAAACTTATCTCAAACAAAAGTTATACTCTGTGCACACGACACAAACGAACGTTAATCATGTCAACACATAACATGATAGCATTCGCATGGGGGGGATGCAAACTCGATTTTTTCTATTTTTTTTTGCACGAAATCACAACCTTAATTAATATTAATCATACGCGACGTTGTCATTGCTGCTGCTGCCGCTGTTTGCCTGTCGACGTCATTATAATGACGTGTTATTGTTGTTGGTTGGACACCTCAAAGATCTCCCGATAAGAGAATCGTTAATGAAAAATGTTTTTTCATTTCAATAAAGTACATAATGTAATCATAATGTGAAATTTAATTTTATTTTATTGTTTTCTGCCATTAAGTTGATAAAGGTAACGTGTGCGCGACAGAGTATGCTGTAAATTAATGACTTGCGACGTGGCGTAATAAGCCGCCTCCACGCAGGTCAAAAGTGTACACAATTAATTATTTAGAATGAAATTAAACAAAAAGAAAAAGTGTCATGCAAACCAATTTAAAGCCAGCGCAAGAGTAAACAAATTTAAGAATTTATAGAAAACGTATAAAGGACTTTTGATAAATTTCGCAGTATCCAGCAGAGTGGTTTCAAATTTCTCTCAATGAACTCTGACCCCTAATCCATTGATGGAACATAAATTCTACTCTTGTTGACTTGGGGCATTCTTTCATTTCCAAATAATAAGAATATGAGGGAAAATAGCGAAGTGATTTTATTATCTCCTACACCCCTTATAGTAAGAGGTATATATAGCCTGTGTTTATGTACGCAACGCCACGAAGGTGTTGATAGGTGAGATAAACTCACCTTTTAAATCATTTTTCGAATAGACTTAAAAGTGTACGTCCGTGTCTTTGTTTGTCTGTCCGTCCCTCCGGTGCCAGTATATGTCTATTTATTTTTCAACGTACAGATCGTGCCTTTCAGATATTTTGATAAAAGCAGTTATAATAATTTGTTGTCGCTCAAGCACCAACGCTCTATGACTGATTTCTATACGACGCCTGATTTTGAGAACATGACATGATACGTGAACAAAATTTGCATTTTTGATTTTTGTCGATAAAAACTCGTGCAAAAAATGTGCTTTGCCTTATTAAACAAATCATAAAATCTGAAGGGGCTGGGGCCATCCTTTAAATTCCTACCCATATAAAGCTGGTTATAAAATGTAAACCTTAGAAAAGCAGCAAAGTGTACTCCTTGGTATTTGGTATAAAACAATGAATTAACATATAAATGTGGTTTGCTGTAGCTCTGTTCTTTTGTTGCACATCAGGGTTCTCACGAACAACAAGCCTTTATATGTGGACAATGTCTAATTTATGGTATTTTACGTCAAAAATAGACACAAGGAAGTAGATGAGCGTAAGTCGGTCTTGCGCGACTGTATGCTTTCAACATGATTTCCACGTTAACAACATTGAGCATAAATTTCAACTTTGATGATCATCAAAAAAATAACAGAAGATCGATTTGACGTTCAATTGAGTTCGTAGGTTGGGAGAAAGAAGAGCTCATCAGATACGTTAACAGTCAATAGGAGGCAATCGGGTTTTAATTATTATTCTTCTCTATTTTCCATGTTATTACCGATCGATTCGATGTAGATAGATTGATATATTTTTGAAAAGTATAGGAGTGTAAGTGTAGTGCAGACATATGCACTTCATGAGCGTTTCTTGTCAACTGACATTTATCCCTCTATATAAACCAAATGGTCAAACAACGATCGGCGCCAATTGGTTTCCAAGAAATGCTATAGCTTTGAAGCATTCGAAGAACTACAAGACGACGCTCTCATCAGATCTACCGCAACTAGGGAGTTATGTCCGATAAACTCAGAAAGTCATTCCCTTTTATTCATGAGATGGTGTTATGAGTTCAAATGTCAAAATCTATTCATTGGGTATTATATCAACCGAGATCTATAGTTTCAGCACCAGTCGTAAACGGTACCGACACAGTTATTTTCCTGCAAGTTGATAACCTTCGTGGATAACGTTCCGAACGTTCATTTTCATTGATGACCTCAGCATACCAACATCTTATGACGATACTGGGTTTAACTAGAATTTTTTATTCATTATCAAATGTCTTCGCCTTCATGCGTCCTCTGGTATTATTGCCGGTTTTATTCAAAATAATTTTCAAGTTTACAATTTTATGATATTTTTGCATATTATGGCTACGTTTGCTGCTGATAATGTTGTTGTTGTCTTCCCTTTGTCAGCGTTTGCTTTCTAAGGTTTCCCGTATAAAGCATTTCTTGTGAATGTGCACAACTGACATTTACTGCTTTGCTTACTGACATTTACACGAATGTATTTGATGTACGCATGCATTCCATCATACGCAGGCACAAACGTGGTCGTGCCATCGTTGCCATTTCAAATGCTAACCAATCCTTTTGTTTACATTTAAAATACATGCACTCGCACAATAAAATACAATAGTTTTTAATTCCTCCGCCTACTCCTTCGTACGGTTGTTTAACTTCGAAGAGAAAGAGAAAACTAATAAAACCAACAAAGATCAACAATTATAATAACAATTACAATAACAACGACAATCTTAATAATAATTTTCTTTTGCCATACATGTCAAAGCAAATTCCAAAGGAAAGGAAAACATTTCTTTGCATACTCTTCTGGGGACAGAAGAAGACAGAAGTAACTTGTGGAGAAATTTTACTTGTGGAACAATGGACAGAGGAAGTTTTTTGTGGTCTTGTTTACTTACAAGCCATGAAAATTCCATTTATCAACGCGTGAGTGTTTTTGATGGTTGAAAAGTTTTCGATTTGTTGTTGTTGTTATTAAAGAGATTGAACATGGAACAGTGTGGTACAACACGGAGGAAAGATAAAGAGACGATGCATTAAATCAAACGAAGAAGTGAAGAGATTGACTGTAAAAATTCTCCATTGACTTGCCGCCCACCTCCTATTTTCATGGTCATGAGATTCCACACAAAATGTTCGACGAACAGGGTGACATGTAGTCGAGAATTTGAAGATCATCTAGTGATCATGAGCATATGCACGCTGTGCAAACTAAACTGTAACTGAAAGCAAAATTGTTGTAGTCGAATAAGACCGACCGTTAAACACTCTACTCCACTTTATTGATTTTCATGCTAATACACAAATAATGATATTGTGTTCTCCTGTAAAGGGTTACAGACGCTTGTATTGGAGGGTGCCCAAAACCGTCTACCGACTAGGTCCAAACTTAGTAAATTTAATGTTTGCGCCTAATTGCTATTACGGACAAATATTCATTATGAAATTTTCAAAATTACACCTTTTCCAACAGAACTCAAACATGAAATGATGTCCGGGAATTAGGTTTATAGTTTTCATTTTTAGTTCACTTCATTTTTAAGTAAAACTATTATCGTGGATTAATTTCCCCCATGCAAAGTTTAGCGTACGCAGGATTGGTTATAGAAGAGAGGATTCCAAAAGATCGCTTTGTCGAATCGGATTTTTCGCATCAATTTGGAAAGCGAAACACTATCGTTTAGCAATTTTTGGCGAAATATTTCGAAAATTGTAATTTGTTTTCAAAAACCGGCTTATTTAAGATAAAACGCTATATGGGCGGTGGGCGCAAAAGTAGTCCGATCGCATTCATTTTCCATCACTGCCCAGTACTGTCGTTGGGCCGAGATACGTCACTGAACCTGTGTACTTGATAATGGTATCTTCAAAATTGCGCCCGTTAGGTTGAACTCAAGAATACACGAACGGTTATCGGACGGACAGATGGACAGACAAGTCTGAATCGATTCAGAAAATGAAATGAAAAATTCGGCCTGAGTCCTTCTGGGTGTTAAGTGTATTTCCATACACTGTTTGCTAGAAGACAACATCAACCATCGCATTATGCTTAGGCGCCTTTCCATAAAAAGTAAACTCAACTCTGTTGAAACGATTTAACTCAAGCTCCAGTAAGCAAAACTGTCGGAGTTGTTTAAAATGCTCTTTTTGAGAAATAATTCAAATAGCGAACCACAAGGGAACGTAGAGCACAAACTATTTCAGAGTGAAAATATAAAACAATGGGTGTGTGCTTTTTTGGCAAAATGCATCAAGCAACAAAATAATTTGCCAAAGCTGCACGGTCCCCTTACTATGGAGAGTTGTTGGAAACACTTTTGCCCAGTATTAGGATTCATCCCATGTAAAAGCATCCGATCTCTTGGATGTAATAGGACGTTTGTTTACTCCATACGCTTCAAAGCATCATTTGACTGAAGAAGTGTACAAAATGTTGATTCGTTATAGACATATGAAAGATATGTTACGAAGGTTGTTACCCTCCATAAATTACATGAGTCTGTCAAAAGTGAATGTATGAGTCGGGCAGAAGACTGATTGCGTGATGTGTTTTCTGTTTATTGATCACTTGTCAAATAAACATTGTTCACTACTTTTTAACTCAGTAGTTCTGACTTACAATAATTGGAAAAATATACTTTAATAATATCTTTAGGGGCACAAGGCGGAGTAGTTTAATAAGCTATTACATCTCCCTCTCTATCTCTCTCTCTCTCTCTCTCTCTCTCTCTCTCTCTCTCTCTCTCTTTCTCTTTCTCCTACATTTGTTTGACTTTGTTTCGTGCTTTCCAGAATTTTATCGGGCAATCAGTTAAATGTACTGCACAATTATGATTTCCTACACTTGACTGGTTTGGTGGAATTGTAAGTCTAACGTCAACTATAAAATTTAATTAAATTCACTAAATGCAAAATGAGATATTTTTTCATTTACAAAGAGATTTACGCGGCAACCGTTTGGAAACATTTGCAGCCGAAGTATTTGAGCCCTTGAAAAGTTTGGAAGTACTGTGAGTATGAGCAACAATTTATGCGTCCTACGTCGCTAAAAGAGATTACAAACGATTTTAAGTAACTTTAACCGACCTTAAGCTTACAAAGCTTATGGGAGATTATAAAAGTTTTCTAATAACAATAAATTTATAAAATAAATTTCTGAAGCGGTTTCAAATTTTAATTTAATTAATATTTTGCTTAATGTTTTTTAATCCATTGAAAAATTTCTTTCGATGCAGTTATCTTAATGAGAATCAAATACGTCAACTCCGCCCGGGCATGTTTCCATTACTTGCGAGTCTGCAGACATTGTCTTTCGCTCATAATCGCATTGAAGACATTGCATAGCAATCATTCCCAATGCCACGTTTACGGCATTTGTAAGTATACAAAACCGGAGAAGAAGCAGTTGTGGTGGCGTTTGAATGCGTTTAGGAGATTTGTTGTTTTTCTTGTCTTTTATAAATATTCAGAGCTTACAAGCGTTATCGTCTGCGTTTGTTTCGTGTAAAAAAGCACTTCTCTTGCATGCAGTTGACTTGACGAGCAGATAATGTTAGAACAAAACTTGATACAAAAGTGCATGTCAGTGTTCGCAGTGTTAAGATGAATGGCGGCAAATGTTGTCAAGTTTGTCTTACACAACGAAACGATCTAAGATTTAAGTAGAACTATGCGTTACACCTACGAAGGTGTCATGTGTTTTTAAAGTGACCTCAGATAGGGAGACTATAAGTACAATTAACTGGCTTTTTAAAATCATTAAACCCTTCTAGTCAGGAAAAGCAAACTAACGTATGAAAGGTAATACACCGTCGCAGACATGATTTGTTCACGCTGTCACGTAGTGTCTTATGAGAGCTGTATATAGTTACGTGCGTTTTCCGCGTGAAGAAAATAAAACTTTGAACTAACTTTTGGGTGAAGATTCCTACAACCCTTCAATTCGAAAGCAATGTACTTCTGAAAAGTTGACATGCGTTCAGCAAAGCTATGTTGAAATGGGTCGTGGCAAAAATTGAGCTCATGGTGCAAAACGAGAAATGGCTTGAAAGCCATTGGTTGATGAGTCAGTATTTGCATCATCAACTCTGAGTTTACTGACGTTAGTGTTGACTGGGTGAGTGTACGGAGTAGTTTGGCAATATGGGGATGCTTTCCTTTAAGGCATTCTCCCCATAGAAAGCGCATTCCTTTTCCAACTTTTGAGAGTTAAACTATCATAAGTAATTTCTTAATATCTCGACATAACTTGCAGGTTTTAATTAATTGCTTGAGGTATTTGCGAACGAACGAAAGGAGGAATGCTCCACGACATCTTTCTTTTTTAGTATGAAATATTACCGAGGGGTTGTCTAATCTGGTCGGGACGTGATTGACGTCCAGAGAGAAGTAAGGAAAGAGAAAGAGATAGGGGGTGACGCCCGTAGTCCAGCAGAAGTGTGTAAACTCTACCGCTTTTGAGATTTCACTGGCGTTGTGGGCTTTCGGTCACTACTTTCTGTACAAGACAAGAATGAAATAAATTTTTGCGTATTTTTGAAGTTTACGATTACTGTTTGTAGTGGAGCTAAGCTTACTAACGGACATATTCTAAGCAACATCACAAAGAAGTCGCAGGCTATGAAGCCACAAGCAATTGCTTCTGATTTTTGTGGCATAAAAACTTTGTTTTGTAATATGAGGGGTAAATGAGGAGTTTATTCTGTCTGCTGGTCTAGAGTACCAGAGTACCAGACTACCAGAGAATACAAATTTGATACAAAGTCGCAAAGACTATAAGCAGAAAAAATATCGCTTTCTCTTAGTGACTGGTAGTGACTGGTCGCAATGCCAGGATACAGCTGTTAGACTAATACATAGATCTCTTGTACTTGGCGCCAAAGTGTGATTATAACAATTCACTCTAAGAAGCGCTCAATTGTCATTAGTGATTGCGGGAGACAGTGATATCGTCATTATAAAAATTATTCATCACAGCCTTGAGCAAATTTGCTCTTGTGCTTCTCGTTTTGCTACTAATGCCATAAATGTTTCTCCTACTACTGCTAATACTACTATCGTTACTACCACTGCTACTACTACTACTACTACTGCTGTAACTTATATTATTATATTATTCGCTGCAACACTATTCTTACTCTTGCCATAGTTGTTAATGCTCGTGTTCTTGTTTGTTTTATGAGTCGTATTTAATACGAAGAAAATTTTCTTATAATAAAAAAAATCCTTTTTTTGTTATTTTTTTCTTCTCTTTATATTTTTTTCTTTATCGCTCTTTGTAGATTCTTAGCTGGCAATTTGTTGACGGAGTTAAAAGCACGAGTTTTCTGTAGACTACATATGCTGCAAGGATTGTAAGTATTTTCATTATGATGATGTTAAATATTTTGTAAAATTAATTTTTTATTTATCTTTCATTCTTTTCGTTACTGAGTAAAGGAGTTTTAAATAGATTTGTAATAGATTGTCATAGTTACACTTAGGAAAGGCATACGGCTTACGATCGTTTAGTGCGGAATCTTGAAAGAATAGAAACGAGTTAGTGTGAATTTTTATAATCAGGGCCAGTTTAAGGTGAATACGCTTGGTTGACACAGGTGTCTAAAATTCGCTTCGAACCATATGTAACTTATCCACTTGTGTTTGTCTTACGATGAATCCTTCAACTTACGACAGCTCGATGTCTTCTCGAAATTATATAAAGCGATACAATATGTCCCATGCTATTTTATTGTAATCTACAGGAAGCTGTGGTATCTGCTTGTAATCTTATATTTTACATTTGTTTTTTAAGTTTTGTTTTATAAATTTTTTTTTGGGAATTTGTTTATTTCAAATGTAAATTTTCAGGACATCTATAAAGTGACACGCAGTAAAGCCAAAGATCTTGTGAAAACTAACAAAGCTACCGCTTTCCTGCGCGTGCCACTGCAGAGATTAAAATGCTAAGCAAATTGCGTTCACTACCAAAAGGATTCCAAAAGCAGTGGAATTCCTTATACTTTGTAGGCATACTAGGTAACTAATTGATAGAGGGTTCGATAGATTTTTCGAGCTTTTCAAAGCCAAGTCATGCTGATCGGCGGTCAACCGCCCACATACGTGACTTGTTGCGTCTATGCCCTGCAAATTTTTAACAGATAACAGGCAGCTCTCTGAATTAATTTTCTGCTTGTCTAGGGGTACGCTATCGTGACAGCTGTGTTACATGTGTTTACAATCACTGGGTGCTTAAAACTTTTAAAAGGCCAACTGTACTTATTTCCAATCACCAAACATGCGGACATCAAAGAGTTCATAGACAGTCTTCTCACTTCAAAGATGACCGAGTTATTGAATATAAAGCATAGGGTTGGTATTGGTACGGACCCAGTAAAATAATTCGGAAAAAAATTCGAAGCTTGATGTAAGAGATGCGCAGCCATCTCCACAAGTACGGATTTCCAACGACAGTCCTAAGAAGGGCACGACAAATGGTCGGTGTTCTGTAATGTGTTAGTAAGCTTATATATATATATATATATATATATATATACATAAGGTATTTAAACTTTTTCTTGGACGTAAATTATAATTTTTTAAAAATTAAAAAAAAAACAAATAATAGTAGAAAATACAAAGAAAAGTCGTACCGTTGAGCTCTTTCTTGAAATGCAGCGTTCAATGTATATTTCCAATCAGTTGTTAGCATTCCTAACTGCAAAGCTGTTGTGATATTAGCAAATTGTCTTTTTATTGCATTGTTGACCATTTTGCGAATTGTTACCAGTTTTGCTTCTGAGCACATTTCGTCCGTAGAATTTTATTTTCCTTATTATCATTATTATTACAGTCAATTACATTGTTATACGTGTTACATGTTATGAATGCATTATAACGATAACAAGTAAGTGCACATGTTTATAAATGCCCGCTTACGAGTGTGTATGTGTGTTAATGCGCAAATTTTCTTGTATATATATTTCGTGTATGACATCAAGTACTTTGGAGTTACTTTAAATAAATCGATGATGTTATGAATGAGTTGATGTAATAATAACTATGTGCACCGATTGTGCATATAGAGCGAAAGGAAGTTTATTGTACAATGGGCCAACCAACGAGCGGAACCAATGTCCTGTGGAAACAATGTGTGTCCCTAGGAAATATATTGAAATAGTTCTACTTTTCACAACCATTAAGAACAAATCAATATATATTGACTGCTTCGCGCAACTTATGTAATTCAAGAAGAAGAAAAATTGTCCGAGATCTCATAATTTATTTATATTTTAGAATTATATTGGGTTTCAAGTGCATTTAGTCATGTTTGCCCATCTGTCCGTTCGTTCTCTTGCCCTTTCCGTTCAATTGTCTTTTAGCCTGTGTCCCCGCTATCGCTTACACCCCCGCTTTCTCAAGCTTCTTTCTCTCTATCTTTCCGACTGCCGTGCTGTTCACTTCTTCCTTCATTGTCGTTCCCTCCATTTCCTCGCTCGTTTTTCCAGATACTTTTCTTTTTTCAACTTTTCGTGCATTAATCTCTTGGTCTGTCCATCCCTTTGACTTTTCATCTTATTGTGGACACTTCTCCGTATTTGTCTGCCTGGCAAGCATTCTATTCACCGCTGTGTACCTAGATCGGTTCACCATTTGTTACGCATCGGGAATGTATATATATATATGTATATGGAGAGTCTGGAACTGGCTTCTGCGTACGTAATTGCTTTTTTACTTTTGTCCTGACCAAGTATTCAAAGAGCTTGAAAAGAGTTTACAGCTTATTATAAATTGAAACGTTTCTCGACTGCATCTGGAACAATATTCAATATATTTCATGATGTGGACGACGAGTGCTTCGTGTTTTAAGTTTGTGTTATGACTTTTGCTGTAAAATATTTCATTCTTGTTTATTACGTTGCCTCTGTACATATTTGTGTGTTTGAAAAATTGATCTGCAGACGCATTAATCGTAAAAATCAATCCCCAGTGATGATGTTTTGCTAAAGCTTCGCATTTATTTATTTTCTTTGCTCAGTTGCACTGATTTATGATTTCAATACACAAATTCTTCACGACTTGCATTTTTTTACCGCTTCAAAACTAAAATAAATTATACTTTGTATAGAAATTCAATTTCTATGTAAATGGGGAAAAGTTTTAAAAAAATCTGATGTGAAAAAAGGGAAAAAACAAGCAAAACTTGACTGAGTAATTTATGAAACTCTCGTAATATTATAAGCAACTGAGGCTTAACCTTCCTATTTACTAACCGTACACCTACCGAGCTATTAAAACTAAAAATATCTATATAGACTTATATTAAGTCAGCTATGTGTATATAGACGAATCGGTGTTACTGGAGTAATTTAAAGTTCTATTATATTTAAACATAGAAGAAGTTGAAAACATATTATTTATTGTGTTTATATAAAACACGTACACATGCACATATTTATATATATAATATATGTGTACAATGCATGTAAGCATATGGTTGAATAAAATTCCTTATCGAATAACAACTGCTGGGCATAAATATTGCAAACGCTTCTAACATATATACACTCACTCTAATATATCTGATATATATATATATATATATATATATACATATATATATATACATATATGTGTACGACAAAGTAAGTTAGATACAAAGGCATGCAATTTAATCTCTATATATCGTAGTAATAAAAAGAAAAAATATGAAGCAAGAAAAGTTTCATATCTCTATGTATGCACGAACGTGTGTGCATATACACGCGACGCATATTAACTACGAAATCTTAAAAGTATACTAAGCCATGTCATAATTCAAAAACTTTTTCACTACTAAGCAACACCTTCTAGTATTTAAACATTGAAAATAGGCAGTCGATGGATTAAAATCGGGTTTTGAAGATTTTCCGTAGACATGTGTTGTGAGAAATATGCTTCAACACTCTGTCAGTATTGATTAGCTATCAAATCGATTCAGCCATGTCCATCTTTCATCTGTAAAACTCGCATAAGCGTTAACATCTCCTATGCTGATTTCGACGGATTCCATTCCAATGTGGCCTATGCCTACGGAGCGCAGAGCGTGATTTTATCAGAGATAGTAATGGCAATCTCATCTCAACATCTCGAGCGGTTTACTCCGTTTATATACTATTGAAAGGATAGGTATTCAGGTCATTTATTCTTAAAGACGAACAAATAAAGGAAATTTTAAATTTTCTTATTACGATTGTTATGCTTAAACCTTTTATAAATAATGATATGCAACGTTTGTGTGTCGGATGTCTTCGCGAGTGTTACATGATGTTATACAGCAAATTTTCGCTAATGATATGCATAAACTTCCAGACGATACGAATAGGAAGAGAAGGAGAAAAGAAAATAATTTCATTCTGGATAAATAGAATGCATAGAATATACATACTTACACACTATGTTTCTAAGAAGCATGTAATAGAGGAAGTCAAGGATATATTATTCTCTTTACACTTACAAAGACTATTAATATAGCCTTTAAAGAAAGTTCGCATATCCATCACCGAAGCTTGAAAATATTTTAAAACAAGAGTTTCGTTTCTTTTTGCGTCGATCGAGGCGAATATTTCGTGAACTGCAAAATTATTAGGCATTTTGGGGTAAAAGAAAAGTTACTTATGAGTTTGTACCTAAAGCTGAGTTTACGACAACTGTGAGGAAAAAGTATCAGGTTTGTTTTGATGATGGAATTTTTCCTTTTATTGTACATGAATTTATAAGGATTGCGGGGTCATAATGGACGTAAGTTGAGTGAGCCTCAACAAATTGTTCATAAGAATTTACTTTTGTTCGTTTTGGAGATAAATTATCTGCAGTGTTATGCCATTGTTAGGTTATCGAACTGAAAACGGATGCGGTCACCTATTTGTCCGGTACGGATACATTGCGTGGGAAACAGTTTATAGTTACGAAGGCAGGGCAATATTCTAATCGTGATTTACTGTCAAGTGAACCCGGACACCTGGACGACACCAATAAGTCAAGTCTTTTAGTCCTTACAAAACGTAATAGGGTTTTCCCACTCGGATTACGTCGCCCCAGCTCAGCTGCAATCCAAACCCTACTCCGACTAATTCTTCAAGTTTTGCCTACAACTGCTTCATTCTCCGCCATTGGTGTAGGAAAGTAGAGAACTGCATATGCACTGTCCACAAAACATTCAAGAGTTCACTCTACGTAAACGTCCGTGAAATCGTTGAGGATTATTTGGAAAAATTTGGTAAATGTGCTGTTGAAACGTCAACTATTTTGCAATGAAATGATCGCGTTCGACGTCGTTATAACCTAACCTAAAAAAATAAACCATATGAAGCTTTATATAACAAATACTGACTGAAAGTTTGATGCAATTTTTTTTATCATTGTTGTGTTAATGATTTCATTTGCTGCAGTCACCCACCGCCGAATAAAAATTTGATGATTTCTCAACATTCGTCTAAAAAGCTAGTTTAGGAAAACTTTGAAGCTAACATAAATTAGAGGAATATAAGCGCATATCGCGTTCTCTCTTTCTTTATTTTACAGGCATTTGAATGACAACCGACTGCGTATATTTGATGTACATGCCTTTGATTGTTTGGAAAACCTCACCTCATTGCTGTTGACCGATAACGAGTTTCGTTCGCTGGATGGCAGAGTTTTACAAAATTTAACGAACCTAAATTATATGTAAGTAGTTCAGCAAGCTGCAGTTTCAACAGCAACACCAACAATAACAAGCACACTCATAATAATAAATTTTAATTTTTCTGAAAAAAAAACAACAACAAAAAACCGGAATAACTAATCTCTGTTCAGTTATTTCTCGTGGTTTCACTTGTGTCGGGCGGCATTGCATGTACGAGTATGTGAACCGCACGGTGATGGTATAAGCAGCACCTATCATTTATTGGATAATCCCATATTGAGGGGCAGGTAGGCACTTGCCGTCATATTGAATGAATACTTGTGTGCGAGGAGTCTGTGGGTGGTACGCCGCCCAGACACCACACGCATCCATTAATTAGACTCGAAGAATTTATCATTTTTTTCTTTTCGTTTTGTTTTAAATTTTACTTGTTATGAAAGCCAAATTGTTTTGGCCCGCCTCGTAAGAAAGCAAACCGCACGCAGATAACAAAAAAGCAGAGCACAAAAAAAAGAAGAAAATAAAACACGGAAAACTTTTCAATAATCCAGTCGGACAGGAAATAAAACGGAATGTGAAGAAGAGAACTTTTAACTTCAAATCACAAACCTGAGCTATTTTTGTTTTTGTATTTCGGTTTATATTTATTTCTACAAGTTTTTGGCAAATGTGTTTTCCATGAACGCTTTATTTATACAAGTTATGTTGTTGCGAATTCTCTATTAGCTTAGAAGACGAAAAATGTCTTTGAAATTTTTAAAAGGAAATATTTCATGCACACGTACTGACAACTCATGAAATGTGCTGTCACGACAAGGACGTCTTCCTTGCAACCGCTATGCATTTATTATATAATTTTATTTTTTTCATTTAGTTTCATTTAGTCTAATAAATGCCTGCGAGGTGTTAGAGAGATTACCTACCTGTTTATCAAAAACCATGACATTTATTTTTGTTTCCATTTTGGTTGATATCTTCCTTAATGTGTGGAGCAGCGTATGGGTGATGGCGTCCGTCGCCATTGTCGGTAATCTGTTGGTATTGCTGGGTCGTTATTTATATAAGACACGAAGCAACGTCGAGCATTCTCTGTATCTGCGACACTTGGCTGCGAGTGATTTTCTTATGGGCATTTATTTGGCCATAATCGCTTGTGCCGATATCAATTTCCGTGGCGAATATATTGTGTATGAAGAGTCCTGGCGTCACAGCGCATTGTGTGCATTTTCGGGTGAGTCACTATTTCTCTCTGTCTATATTTACATAATTCTACCTTGAATTTGTTGTATTTATTTTCATTTTCCTAGGATTCTTGAGTACATTCAGTTGCCAATCGTCGACGTTGCTGTTGACACTGGTCACCTACGATCGGTTAATGTCAGTAATGAATCCACTACAAACTAGAGATAGTGGCCATAAAAGGTAATTCCAAGTATATTTCATTTCGATACAATTGGATAAACAAAACATTGCTGGCTCTGGGCTTTTAGATGTTTTCAGAAAATGTTAAGAAAACCTTTTCTTCAGAGACGAGTCTCGTCATTAAAGCAATTCTATCTACCTGATTGATCTTTTTGAAACTGTTCATAATACCATCGACTTCGCGGATTATAATTGACTTTGAATATAAGGCTGATAAAGGGGATGAATTCAAGCATAAAGTCCGAGTCCATCTGCGGCCAGGGATATGTTCCACTTTAAATAATACATGAACGAATATTCCATCGAGAGAAACGTATAAGACTGAACTTTGATATGAAAGTTGCAACTTTACCGATTCGAAAATAAAAAAATATTGCATTTAGTGGGAAATTCGTTCTTTCATTCTCCCTTCCATTTACTATATGAAGTGCGTTAACACCTCACCATTACATCGGTTGGTTTGCCTTCATTTCTCATTCATTTCATATGAAGCTCTTGTTGCCACTACTACTGCCACATAGATGTCAATTTGCAAGAACGCTTCTACGTTAATCTGATAAACATAACGACAATGGGACAAGTAACAGCAACAACAATTACAATACTAAACGACAAAAATATTTGATTTTAACTCGCGTGCACTTAAACCAAATGTTACTTTTGGCTGTTTTGCTTTTTTTTTCAGAATGGTTGTGCGTTTACTCTTGCTATGGAGCATATCATTTGTATTGGCAGCAGCTCCATTGTTTCCTTTCGATTATTTTGGACGACATTTTTATGGCACCAACGGTGTATGCTTGTCATTGCATATCCATGATCCTTATGCCAAGGTAAGCGTGCTCGTAGTGCATATGGATGATGAGTTAGTTAGCAAATGAGAGTTTAAATATATGTCACGATGGGAGACAGGAAACCTGAGATTTCGACAATTGAGTTGAGTGGCTTTGTTATGGTTTTACGTAAATTTCATTCCGTTATGTGCGGTCGATGCTGCTGTTGTCATATTGCAACAATTTATTTGTTTACAATTCCGCTGGAACTTTATTCTTTTCTGTTATCCATCTAAGCGAACTAAAAACATCACTGATTTAAGCTAAACCGTTTTATTGAAGTAAATCTTGCGAACGCTTTACTTGTGCACCTGGAGTGGAGTAAAGCTCCATGGTATTCGGAGACTTCTAAAATGAATCTTGCATCACTCAGTGCCCACGGGTATGTGTACCTTCCCAGACCCACAAAGAAATCATGCTAAGGGTACATAGTCCTCCTTCCGCGTTAGGCAAAATCGAAGTCGTTGGAAAATCGAGGGTTCTCACGGTTCTCTCTAGAATGCAAAGTACTTGAGAAGCTTCCGCCAAAAAAACGTCAGAGAGTGGATTTGTTAACGTTGAAGGTGTGTCCGATATTTGTAGTCATCACAAAAGCGGCTCGTAATCGAGTTAGGTGATGACTGCCCAACCAAATCAGAAGACATTTAAGAGATTAAGATCAAAGGAATGAAAATTCGCAGACTTTCGCCTGCGCCTGCGCCTTCCCCGCCTTAAACGACGCATGTCTTCCTAGCAATTTTAGGCGCTTTTTCCCTTTCCGGCTTTATTGAAGAAGATACCGCACTTGAGATTCGAGGATCCGCGGCCGTTTTGTTGTCAGCCGAGATCTTCTGCCTACTCGGGCTCTAGTGCGGAAATAAAAAAGAAAGAAATGCATATTTTTCCTTTTATAATTATGTTTATTAAGGATCTTGAGCTACGCATATTTCAGGATGTTGGACCTGACCAAAACTAGTTTTAAGTAGCCCCACAGAACTCATTTGATTTTTTTTCGTCTGTGCCGAGTTTCTCTCAAGCGAAGTCAGTGGAGGTTTTACGTTCATAGTCTCTCCATGAGAAGATTGGAACGATTTAAATTTTAGTGGTTCAGAAGAATGAGCTCCTTCCCTATAGTGTGTGTACGCTGAAGATAAAATTGATTAACAAAAGAACGTCAGTTTCAAGTGAAATCCTTAATATTTTATCGATTTCCGCAAAAATCTCAATGTCACTTACTTCATTCTTTATAGGTATTTTACTTTATTTTTCTTCTTACTTTTTTTATTTATCGCTTAGGGTTGGGAATATTCCGCAGTTTTGTTTATCTGCATCAATACCTTTTCGTTGGTTTTTATTTTAATTTCTTATGTGCGTATGTTGCAAGCCATACGAGATTCTGGCAGCGGAATGCGTAGCACTATAAGTGGACGAGAAAGTGTCGTAGCTACCAGGTAAGCAAGCAATATTTTACAGCCGACTACAAAGAAAAATTAATTTTAAGTATTCAAAGCAACTAAACCTTGATAAATATGTCCTTTTTTTTGCTTTTCGATAACTTGAGCAGATTTGCGATTATCATAACCACCGACTGTGCTTGTTGGCTGCCCATAATTGTGGTGAAATTGGCCGCATTATCAGGTGGTGTTTACTTAAATGCGAAAAAAGTCTTTTTATTATTTTTTTTCGGGATATATTTAATCCTTCCAGGCTGTTCCATATCTCCGGCTCTATATGCTTGGCTGGCGGTATTAGTTTTACCTGTGAACTCGGCTTTAAATCCTATACTTTATACTCTGACTACAGCCGTTTTTAAACAACAGTTAAGACGTTATTTACTAGCCGTACCGACGTGCTCCTTCATAATGGGTGAACATCTTAATCATACACAATTAGCTTGTGAATCGGCCATGAGCACTAGTTTGGGTCACTTCAGCAGCAATAAGTCGAATTCAGAGCGTAAACGATACTCCCAGCGACGCTTAAGTTATGTATGAGAACGCGAGAAACCCTCAGGCGAATGGAGGGAAACAGTTCTTTGAAGAGAAGACACGCTGAAGTAAGGTCTTTTTTAAAAACAAGTACAAATCGAATAGAACGAAATTTATTTATCTTTAATGATCCGTCTAAAATGGACAACAGAATGAGAGAGTGTAAAAATAATTGTAAGTCTAATTATATAGAATAAAAAGTAAGTATTAACACAGTAGTGATTACATTAAGTACTTCGTCATCTTCTGAGTTGTTTCTAGATAAAGACAATATCAGGCTTTTTGATGAGGAATTCGCCTTCTTCCACTAAAACGACTTTGTTTCCGCTGCGTTACAGGTTAAATGTGCGACGCACAAATCCTTTCGTTTGACTAGAATGCAGGCAGTTAGTAACGTCTGACCTTGATGCTGCAAAAGTTAATCAGACCAATTGGTCAAAGGTTAGGCTGCTGGGTTCGTCTTCTTTTGAGGAGCCATTGACCTTGTGAGCCGCGACCTTAATAATAATACAGGGATGAGGCTCATAATCTCGGACCTATGTCTACGGGTGCAATGGCCGTGAGAGTTTAGTTTTTGACTCATTGCGTTCTCACATATAAAAATTTCACGTAATTGGAAGATTTTTTCATTATCTATACTTTGCGCGCAAAGTAGGCCATAAGCTTAACGTAAAAATGTGAGGATCTGTTTTAGCCCCATAGGCAACATTGCGAAATGCAAAGCCTGGACTCTAGAAAGGTCACTGGCAGAATTATTATGATCGCTGCAAATTGACGAAAGAACAGAAAGAGTTTTCGAGTATTGACAACAACTTCGCTTAATTGTGGACATGTCACTAGAACGATTAAAGTCTTACTCAAGTCGACATTGGTACCATTTTATATACCAGGGCGAAATTTTCCCAAAAGTTCACGGAAACGAAATTGGACACTCAAAAAGACGACTTTGAACCACATTTGTGAAGAATGATTCATGGGTAGATTTCACCTCACCAACTGGTGAAACTAACTAACAAGCAGGTGATCCGAGAAATTCCTCTCTTATCCGAACGGGTTTTTGAGACGTTGTTGCGAGAAAAAGTCGAAGGTAACCTTATAATATAATAACAATAGCATTACTAAACGAATGTAGATTCAAATTATGTCGATAAAATTTTTAAAGTTGTTCAATATATCTCCACTCACAAATGTTGTGATTTTTATACAAAAAATGTTAGAAATATTAAAAGAAATTAAGTTTTTGCTCAGTTTCGTTTTGTTTGCTTTTCTAGTCAATTGTTGTTGGTTTTTACCCAAATGCGAACGTATAAAACAAAGTAAATAAATGAATTTATTATTTTGCTAAATACACTATAGTTTAAGATCTCAATGTTATCAACACTTTCTTGAACGAAAAAGTAAATTTACTTAAATGATAAGAAAGTAATGAATAAAACTTAAAGTAAATATTTTTTGAAGATTGAAAAATCCTTTGGTTTTTATTACGAATATTTCCAGTTCTTGAATATCATTCCAAACTTTCTATCAGTGCGGTGCGTCGTCTGGTTCGGCTACATCTCAAAGACATCTAATCGTAAGAAAGGCCAAGCCGTGGAAGTGACAAGTGTTCTCATCGATTCAAAACTTTCTACAATCATTCAAGGACCTGACCTTTGAGCAAAGATTTGCGTAATTTGCTAATGTTTCGAACAAGTGTGCTCATCATCAGAAGCCAAGTCTACTCATTCTTGAATCATTTTAGTTCTGTCCATCTGTTCGCTCTTCCTCCGAAATTTGAAATTTATATAATCTATTTTTAAAACGCCTTAACCCTTAACAACCCCGTTTAGAATAAGAAGAAAGTTTTAATTCACTATTTACAACAGTTGTTAACCTTAAGTTTGGTACATGCGGGAATCAACAACCATCTAAAGCTTTTATGTATAAATGGGCGTGATCCTTCTATAAACTAAATTGGAAAGTCACTTTAGCTAATGACCTCTAGATGGGATTGAAACAACAATTTGACAGAAATATTTACCAAAAAGGTCAGCTTAACATAAAGTCAGCGTTAAAAAAAGCCGCCCGCCTACAAACAGATTTCAGATTGTAGAGATCACAGATCGGAGAACGGAAATAAGGCGAATATAGCTTTCGCACTTTTCGTCTTTGAAGGTCCCATTCTGCTCAGTATGAAAGGCAATTCTTAACTATTCCTACAATTCATAGGCGAACTGCATCCTATCTATAATTAAATATATTTAAACGAGGTTAACTTCTACCTGTGATAAAAGTCTCCCATGATTTCTACCTATGTTCGTACTAGGAAATTATTCTGACGAAGTAAAACGATGAGACAAACTGAGAAACATAGTTCAACTTTTTTTTTTAAATGAAGCATCTACTAATAGACGTATTGAGATCACTTTAAGCAAGGTCTTATAGATATTATGACCAGATGTAAAATCAATGTTGAATAAATATTTTAGAAAAATTCTTTTCAGCATATATTTAAAATTTATTGCGTGGAAATAATGATTCTCTCAATTAATTCCCACTTAAATGCATTGACACGTATTCTTTAGGGTACTTCCGGTGCATGCCTCCAGGTGTTGTTGAACGCATTTGCTATCAAAATACACAACCGAAGTATTTTTTCCTTAAGCAAGTTCGTGCAATAATATTCAGTGTAATGATTATCAGCCTTAAACCTAAACCCTAAGTTTTGAATGCTGATGAGTTGTTATTATGTTAAATCTAAGCAAACCTTCTTAAAAATTCTACGCAATGCTGTTAACGTTACTGTCGAAGAAAAACCTCAATTCAATGCTGTTTGTTTTATTGTACTTCTAAACTAAACTTTTAAAAAGGAAACAAACAACTTATTAACAGCAGTATCAGTTCTTCGTATACACCTACAATAGCACTGTTTCTATTACACCTCCTCTCTTCTTGCTTTCCGTGGAGATTACAAATTTTTAGGTGACAGAAAAGTTTCGTGTTTTGCTTCATTGTCCGGGGTCCTGGCTAGGCATGCTTTACACGTGCTGGCACGGCGTTACGTTTGATTATTCTCACTATTGTCAGTTATGTTTATTTGTTTGTATTGTGTTTTCTTTCTTTGTGTTTTTTTCTTAGTTTTCAAGCACAGTTGTGAAGAAAGGGTTTATCTTTGTTCTTGTTATTGTATTGTTGTTCTCTTTGCAGCACGAAGCACGGAATAGATAGAGTTACTGCATCAGCTTAGTTAAGTAAATGAATTTTCTTCAGGCTCTGCAGGCATCAATGAATTTATGAGAGACAATATTAGTTTAACCTCCTACAATTTTGAGGGTAAGTGGGGATGCTAAGCCTTTCGATATCTATATTAGGACTAGGATTTCATTATATATCCTGGCATTTGAAATATAGCAGAGACAACTAAATAACAAGATACGTCGGAAATTCTCCAAAATAATAGGTAATAAAATCCCAGGAACTTTGATGTTTCTGTTATCAATAACAGAGCAGTGTTAACTATTGAAGGATTAGCTTTAATATCAATCATTAAATAGTAGTTTCGGTAATTGTAAACTAACGCCACCTATCGAAAGTTACACTTAACTTTCACATCTCGAAGACTTAAGTGCGTAGTGTGAGTGGAGCATTAGTCGTAAATTAATGCTAAACGTGAAGATGCCAAAGCAAATCCGAAATCACTCAGAGTTAACTTTACC